GTTTCCCATGGAGCAGGGAGCCCGATGCGGGGCTCGATCCCAGGACTCCGGGATCATGACCTGAGCCAAAGGCAGACGCTTAACGACTGAGCCACCTGGGCGCTCCTCCCCATGCCGGTTTTTAAACAGTCCATCCTGTTCCTACCAATTTGCTGCCCCCTTATCTATCCTATGTGAAGGCTCCGTACACACAAGAATCCATTTCTGAGCATTCTGTTCTGTTGGTTTATTTCTGTGATGCTGTACCCATTCCACATGTTTTACTGCTGTGGCTTCACAGAACATCTTGATATCTGAGAGTGTGAGTTTCCTCTGTTGCTCTTATTCAGGTTTTATGTACTTTAAGAGTTTTAAATTTGCCTCCCAAATGGTTTTGTGTCCTTAGTTCCCAGGGCGAGGTGGCAGCCCGAAGGTGGACGGGTGTCTGTCGGCATGGCAGCAGGAGCCGGCGCTTCCACCCGCTGGCCTGGTGTGTCCGGAAGGTCGCAGCCCTGCATGCCGCCTGGCTCTAGGCCCGCACCCTCTGGGCCGCAGCTCACCCCCACAGCCGTGCTTGGGCACCTTCTGCTCTCCCAGGATGCCTCTTGCCAGTTTCGTAGATCCCGCCGCCTCATTCTTGCCTCTGTGGCCTTTCCAGGGTGGTTTCTGGGCACGAAGCTGGCAAGCTGTGCAGATTTCCATCTTATCAGGAGCTGGAAGTCGTCCTGTCTGGCTTCAGTGCCTGACGCTGCTCCATTCACAACACAGACTTGTGCACGAGAGGTGACCCTGGGGCTCCATCGGGGCCGTTTCTGCTGGTGGAAACTAGGTCTCCAAAGGGCTTCGTGTGTGTGATTTGCTTAGATTGTATTTACTGCTTCCTTATAAATGTATCTGATGCCTGGAGCTTTGGCCATCCTTTGGAGGAATGGAATATTCCCTTTTTTCTTTTTTTTTTTTTTAAGATTTTATTTATTTATTTGAGACAGAGAGAATGAGATACAGAGGGGAGGAACACAAAGGGAGAGTGAGGGAGAAGCAGACTTCCTGCTGAGCGGAGAGCCCAACGTGGGGCTTGATCCCAGGACCCTGAGATTATGACCTGAGCCGAAGGCAGACGCTTAATTGACTGAGCCACCCAGGAGCCCCTGGAATATTCCTTTAATTCTTTTCTCTCTATTTTTATAGGAATGACGTATTTAAAATTCACTGGTTGATGGCGGCCCTTCCTTTCACGAAGTCTCTTTCCTTGGTGTTCCACGCAGTATGTATTAGTGTTTTGGGTCATTTATGAAATGATGTACAGTGTCTGTACAGTCAGGAAAATTTACTAATTGGAAGAAAGAGGAGCTAGGTCAGTGGGAAATAAGATGAAAGAAGACCTTTTCTCATGAAGCCTTTGGTGTAGGAGGGGCCATCACAGGGATAAATCATTACACCCTCCGTCTGTAACCCGAGCCCGGAGGCATCTTCTGACACTACCTACATACCCAGAATTTTCCTAGAACCTTACTTATTTTTATTCCTTTTTGTTTGTTTGTCTTTTCTCAAGATTAGAGTGCCACCTGCTGAATTGTTTCCACGACTTGATTTTTCTAAATACTTTCCCATGTTCCCATTTGATATGAAGCTTGGTGTTTGCATACTTATTGAGAGAAAAATGATGCTCTAAAGATGGAGGCGTGTGACTTGAGCTTGCACTTTGAATATTTAGTCCAGCTGCAAAGTGACGTGCACCTGCCCATGGGAGGAAGGTCACAACTGCCCCGTGGCACCCGCCGGCTGCACTTGTGAGGGCGACAGTCTCCAGACACGCGCTCTCCTGCACTTAAAAGTGTTGGCATCAGAGGAGTAGTAATGTGTCCAGTTGCAGTCTTCGGAAATGACAGTTATTTGGATAATTTCCCATTTGGATCTAAGTTAAAAGATTCTTTCTGGAACTTTGTAGATAATGAATGACGAGGCCCTAGAGTCACTTCAGTGTCTAGATAGCCATTCGTGACAGAATGGAAGGTCTGCGAAGAAATCGATACCAGCGTTTGTGAGTTGTGCCAGGAAGCATTGTGGGCGCACTACTGAGACTTGCCTCTTTAATTAAAATGCGTTGGTGGCTTTAAGTAGCTCGAAATGTACAGATTTTTTTCTAAAGGACAAAACAAAACAGTGGAGGGTGCGTGACTCCACATGGATTTTTTTGCTGGCTGACTGACTGACTGACTTCTGTAATAAGCAGTTGGGGTGTGCAAGGTGAAGTTCCTGGCTGGGATACTGAAGAGACCTGTGGCATTTGGCCCTTGGGGATTTTTTTTTTTTTTTTAAAGATTTTATTTATCCATGTGTCAGAGGGAGAGAGAGCGTGCACAAGCAGGGGGAGCGGCAGGCAGAGGGAGAAGCAGGCTCCCTGCTGAGCAAGGAGCCTGATGCAGGGCTCGATCCCCGGACCCTGGGATCATGACCTGAGCAGAAGGCAGACGCCTAACCAACTGAGCCACCCAGGCGTCCCGGCCTTTGGGGATTTTAAAGAAAATAACAGGCAGCCATTTGCCAGCGTGACTCTCCTGCCCCAAGAGAGGGACCTGATCTGCGTACTGGTGGCATCGAAAGCTTGTGGCAGGTTTCTCGTGCTACCTGACCTTGTTAGTGCCCTCACATGCTGAGTTGTGAATTGACGAGTGAGGTATTAGTGTGTGGGGTGGAGAGGACAACCCCCCCCCCCCCCGCCACTGTGAGGTCCTGTGGCAGCCTTTTCTGTTTCGTTGTGCGGAAGGCGTGTGGTAGATGGACCTTTCTGAAATGCAGTCGTTTCGTTGCAGATTGACTACCACTACATCTCCTCCCAGGGCTTTCCGATCGAGGGTTGGGCTGTCGTGTATTACATCACTCACCTGTAAGTACGCAGAGTGACACGCAGGAGAAGTTGGAGAGGCCATAGTAGGAAGAGACCTGCCTCGCAAGAACAGTCCCTGCCCTCCTGTGGCGGCCTGTCCGGGTTCTTGCCATGCCAGAGGTGTATGGCACACAGGGTGCTGTCCAGACCTGAGAACTCGAGGCTGCTGGTGTGCTTCCGGGAGGGGGTTGCCTCCATGGGGGGGTGGGATTTGCTGCCCATGGAGTGGGGTGCGTGGCAAACCATTTGTGTGCTGCTTCACTGAAGAGGAGTTTCCTAAGTTTGGCCCCCTCTCTTTTCCAAGAAGCCCGTGAAATCATGAATGAGCTATGCAGGGGAACTTGCAGAGAGTCTGAAGAGACTGTTGGTGTCTGAAACTTTTTCTTTTCCAGCTTGAAAGGGGCACTCCTGTTCATCACCATCGCGCTCATCGGCACCGGCTGGGCTTTCATTAAGCACATCCTTTCCGATAAAGACAAAAAGATCTTCATGATTGTCATCCCACTCCAGGTAAAGGGACCCTACTCCTGCGTGTCCTGGTTGTGTCTTGGCATTTCGCAAGGCTCAGCTGTGGGCCTGTCTAGGCAGAGGGAGTCGGCTCATCCAAAAACTCCAGCTCATACCACTGGGGTTCTCTTTCTGAATTCTGGCAGACCTAGTCCTTGGGTCATTGCCCTGAGAACTTCTGCCATCGCTCACCTGGCGAGCGGCTTATGGATGCCTGCACTTGAGTAGAGAGCTGCTGGAAAGTCAGGGAACATACAGCCTGCCTTCGTGCCCCTGGCTGCCCTCTAGCAAAATGGTCCCCTTAGCCAAGCTCAGGTACATAGTGTTTCAATTAACAAACTATTGTAAAACTGTGAACGACACCAGTGAGTTCTCACAAGGTAGAATATTAAGTAGACACCAGGGCAACTATTTATTAAACCCTTCCTGGTTTGGGACCCTAGGCCAAGGCCAGCCTTGCCTGGTTGTGAGCCCCTTGGGAGAGGAACCTTGTCTTCTGTGTAACAGTCTTACTGGAGGCAGAGATTGGGCATAAAGAACTCACAGTAAACACGGAGGGCCTAGCAGGGATGCCTGACTGCTCTGTTCTGCTCAAAGAGCGTGTGTTTGATAAAGTTGTTCTCATAGTGTGATCTTGTTCAGGAGCACAGTGCGGGTGTGGTAGGGGAAGGAAGGCAGGGGACAGCTCCCTGCACGCCCAGACCAGCCCGCTCGCTCCGGTGATTGGCAGTCTGGCAGTGTTCGCAGCAAAGCCACCTTCACATTAATGACAGAGGGACTCGTGTCAGCAGCAGATGAGTGGTACAGACCAGTGGCTGTAGGTTCCTGGGAGAGAGACTAATTTCCCAAATTCGAATGATCTAGAAGCCTTCAAGGTAGAGAACAGCCTTGCCTGGCTGTTTAAGGAGAGAAATGTGGCAGGCAAAAGAGCAGTAGCAGGAACAGGTGGTGCTGCCGCCGAGGGAGCAAAGATGCCGCGGAGCCGTACGGGTCCTGGCTGTCGAGCTCCCACGGCCGCTGCGCGGGCCAGGCGGACTTCTGCAGCCTGCCCATGCCTCCCGGCTCCGAAGGGAGGGCCTGGGTCCTCTTCCTACCGTGTGGCACTGCTCCCTGTCGCCCTGTCCGCCCCCCCAGAGCTGCCGCTGTCCCTCCAGGCAAACCTTCCTGCCCCCACCCGAACGGGGATGCGATGGGGCACAGCCCTCCTGGCTTCCCTCCTTTGCCCCTGACGGAGCTGAGTGCAAGGTTACGTGGCAGGCACCTCTGAGGAAACGGGACATTGAAACAATTGAACATAAGGAAGTTTTGCATCGATAACGTAGGGACTCATGTGGGAAGGCCTTGAATATCAGCCCGGAAGCTAAAACTACTTCTTTTGTGGCCATGGGAGCCAGTGCACATTTCTGAGTGAGAAGTGAGAGATGTCCAAAATGTACGCACAGACTTTCAAGAACATTTTTGGCACTTTGTTCCACACCAGGGCACGTTTTGTCTTTTGTCGAGAGTGTGAAGTAAGGACCAAGTGGAATTAGGAATTTAAGCTGGGAACGCTTTTGTTTCCACTTTGTCTTCCTAGATAGTCCCAGATGCGGGTGTTTAGGGTGTGTGTGGCAGAGGACGACTGAAATTTCCGAATAGTTTTTGCATTTGTATCAGGTGAAGTATGGCTTCTGTGATAGTTTCACTAAAAGGTCCTAGATAGAAAAAGAAACTATCCTTAGAGACGTCCCGAATAGCAGCACAACAGATTTTACGTTCTTTGTCAAAGTGTACAGACTGATCTTTCCAGAAAGCAAGCAGAGTAGTTGGGACCTTGGACTTTTCGTGGAGTGCAGAGGTGGACTTGTAATCTCTGCATCCACACCTACTGGAAATCTCCCAAAGAGCGTCCCCTTGATTATGCTGAGTAGTAGCCCGGGTTTGAAATACTGCTATCCCAGTTCTGCCAGCTCAGGGGCCTTTCACAGCACACTGGTGCCAGGACTGAATCCCCAAGGCCAGTTGGAGCAGAATGTGGACACAGATGAGCCTCAGTGGGAAGAACTAAGCCATGTCCTGTGTGGAGGTGACCCGGGTGGGGTTGCTCCTAGGAGGAGCAGTGTGACCACTGAAGCACTGGGCCAAAATCCGCCGTTCTCGTTGCTCTGGTCCCTGATAACACTCTCAGGTACCTCAGACTGTCTGCGGAGCAGCGGCGGCCACACAGGGAGAACCTGGGCCTGAGGAATCTGGGCATCGTGGCTGAATGGGGTGTGCGGTGTCTCCCATTCAGCACCCGAGCAGTTCTGCTGAGGCCTTGGGGCCTGAAAAGCAAAGCAGAGTGTCCTGATGATCTGTGCTACGTCACACATCACCCCAAATGCAGTGACAGAAAGCAACAATAAGCACGTATTCTCTCACGTTCTGTGTGGGTCAGGAATTGAGGAGTGGCTGCGCTGGGCAGGTCTCATGTGGGGCCTCCGGCGGTCAGACAGTGGCTGGGGCTACCTCGACGTCTCCACTTGCCTCTGTCTCCTGGGCCGGGAAGACTCGATGAGGCGGGGCAGGAATAGCTGGGGCTCCTCAGCTTCTTTTTCTCTGCCTGGTCTCTCCACCTTGGCAGCCTCGGGGTAGCCAGACACCCTACAAGAGGGCTCAGGGCTCCCAGGGCATGTGTCCTGAGAGATCGGGCCAGCCAGAGGTGGTGTCCTTTGTATGACCTACCTTGGAAATCACGTGGCCTCACTGCCACCTAACTGTTGCTCAGGGCAGTCACAAGCTCAGGAGGAGGGCACAGAGACCACCGCTTGACGGGAGAGCGGAGTATTCTGAAAAGCATGCGGCACTGGAGAGAGGGCCGTGGCCGTGGTTGGGGGCCTGCAGGCCCAAGTGGCCACCCCCTCCTGGGACTGCTGTTGTAGAGATCTGCCCTTGCTTTAGGGCGTCAGCCACTTCTCGTGTCCTGTAGGTTCTGGCAAACGTGGCCTACATCATCATAGAGTCCACCGAGGAGGGGACTACAGAGTATGGCTTATGGAAGGATTCTCTGTTTCTGGTAGACCTGCTGTGCTGTGGAGCCATCCTCTTCCCAGTGGTGTGGTGAGTACCCGCAGGGAGGGGGGCCACGGTGCACCCCGGGGCTCGTGTGCCAAACAAGACCAGGCCGCTGAACCAGCCTTTCGCAAACGGGTCCGAGTCACACGGGGCATCTGTGTGACAGATGCAGCTTCCTGGGTCCCCAGGCTGACCTGGGTCAGTCCCCAGGAGGAGGAGCCTGGAGTTCGTGTCTTTACGCAGTTCCTCAGTGCGTTCCGATAGAGCTGATCTGGCACCGTGGCTTTTAGCCCAGATTAGACAATAGAGAAGGGTCTGGAAATGAGAGCTCAGCAGCAGCGTAACCTAGCAGCATGATTTGGAGGGAAGGGAGTTGAAATCCCATAAATAGCCTTTTCTTGCCAGGTTAGACGGAAGGTGCGGGAGTGCATGAACATGAACTCGTGAGAGTCCCAGCACATGAACACATAGGTATCTTCAGAACGGCAGGCTGTAGCTGCATCCATTGTGCTTCAGTTCTGTAAAGAAACATCAGTACCACGTCAGTGGTTGATGAGAGAAGATATCCTTGTTAAATCTTATGCCAAGTGAAGGGAATTACTGGTTTGGTAGGAAGCAAGTAGAGGAAAAAGGGCTGGCAGAAATAAAACACTCATTCTTACAGTGATCCAGTTCCATGACTGAAAGCAGTTACTTCTTTTGGAATAAAGTTTTTCTTTGTATTTAAATTTTTTTTAAGGTGTTATTTACTTGACAGAGGGTGAGCAGAAGCAGGGGGAGCGGCAGGCAGAGGCAGAGGGAGAAGCAGGCTGCCCGCTGAGCAGGGAGCCCGATGTGGGGCTCGATCCCAGGACCCCGGGACCATGACCCGAGCTGAAGACAGACGCTTAGCAGACTGAGCCACCCAGGCGCCCCTGGAATAAAGTTTTTAAAAATATATTTACCTGCTTTCTATTAGAAATGAGGTAGTCCACAGTGCAATGGCCTCATGAAGTAAATTCTTATTTTTCAGGATCCTGGGGTTTATCAGTTCCTTCAGTTATTCTGCTTATTTAGAACATGGTGCCAGTGGACTGTAATCCTTCCAGCCAATTAGACTCCCTCTTGACCCTTATTCTGTCATACATCACACGTGCACACACGTCTGTGAGGCAGGCAGCTTCCAGCAGACACGACAGAGTACGGATGAGTCTTTCTGATCTCTCCCACCGCCCCTCATCCTACCCAGGAGCAGGCAGCTCAGGCACCTGGAACAGGATGACCAGTGTTGTCCTCAGATAGAAAGAGCGTCTGAGTTTCTCGAACAGAGTGCAGTCCCTTCTCTTCATCTGCTCCTCTCAACAGAAAGAAGGGCCTTGTGGGTTTGGGGAAGACGCAGGCGGGCCATAGGGCTGCGAGTGGCCATTTCCCGCCCCTTGTTCATTTTAGCACCAACGAGCAGATGCCGCACGGCAAGGTTCTTGAAGGTGAATATTCTGAAAGTTGCTGTAAGATGAAAAACATCAAGTACTAGAGGTGACTTAAGGAATAGTATCGATGGTTCTTTTGAAGCACTCAGACTCGGCCGCCGTGGGTTTGGTGCCAACTTTGTGCTAGCTCACTTTCTTGTCCTGCGTCATTCAGTTCTCCCAGGTGGGAAGATGGCGGCGGCGGGGGTGGGGGGGTTCCCTCAGGAGAAAAGACTTTTTCATGGTCAGGTGGAGAGCGGGTGGCCCGTGAGGACTTCAGCCCCCATGTAAGACCCACCCTCCCCCTGGGCTGGATCTGCTTGGGCTGTTCTCATCCTTTTGAGACAGTCTTTCCTTTCCAGCCTCCGCACTCTACCTAGAACTCTGCTCCATCGCCGTGTTAATCATGTTAATGTTCCCGTGCCTCACTGCAGTGATGTAATTAGCTACCTGGCCCATCACAGCAGGGAGACCGACTCCCTGGAGGCCGACACCTTTCAGCAGAGTTCTGCATCTCCAGTCAGTGAAATAGGGAGTTTTCGGGAAACCATGTGCTCACAAGCTCCTAGACCTAGACTTCAGAAATCAGCCTCCGGCCTCTGTGGGGCGGGGGTGTGTGGGGGGGGCATGTTCTTCAGGTAGCAGGTGCGCTCCACGGCAGTATCGCGGGGTGGCATAGTTGTGGGAATGAGAGATTTTAGGTGGAGAGAGACAGATGAAGAGGGTTGAAATGATTGTGTTTTGCTTTGTCTTCCCATCACACCCAGGCCCCTGTCAGACCTTTTTCAGCCATTAAAGGGCATCCTTAACTCTCAGGCTCGAGCCCCGGATGGGGCAAGGTGTCGGTTAGCGGAGATCTCGTTGTTTAGGGAGAGCACTCTAAAGCCGTCTGGTCCGGCCCTTCCAGTTAAAAACTGGGGAATTCAAGGCCTTGAGTTACTAGTACTGGAAACAGAGAAGAATGCAGATCTGTCAGCTAACCTTTGTTCTCCAAATGTTTATTTTTAGGTCAATCAGGCATTTACAGGAAGCATCAGCAACAGATGGAAAAGGCAAGTCCCCTTGTGCTCTTTGGTGCTGCTGGTCCTTTCCCAAAGCTGCATGCCTGGGCCCCGCCGGGAGATGGAGGTGGAGGCAGAAGGGTGGCTATCTCCTGGGAGGCAGGCCGGGGAGCCCCAGGGGCTTTTGCTGGAGAGGTAGGGGGTGAACTTTGCAGAGGTCAGCCGTGGAAGGAGGCTTGGGGGTGATGGCTGCTTATTGAGGTGATTCATTCCTTTTCCACTCGTGAGCATGATTTTCACCTTCTCCAAACTGAGTCAGGAGGAGAAAATCTCGTCTGGGAAGGATCAAATAGCACTTCACTGTGAGAACAGGAGGTATGATGGAGTGGGGATGGATATGTGTAAAGCATCCCTTCCTGCTGATTTAACACGCTTTCAAAATAGATGTGTCGGTATTAATTTTAAGATGAGACTGATGCCAGAGAGAACCTTTGAAACGCTCTGGTTTTTAATGCTTGTGCCATGATAACCCTTCTGCATCTCCTTGGTTTTCTAACCATCCCTCCTAAGAAAAGAAGCCACAAAGAAAATGTTTTGTGCGTTTCTGAGCTGATTTGAATAGTGCACGACCGCAGGCCGTGGCATAAAGGAGGGCTTCGGACCATCAGGGACTGAGAAGCAGTGCTTTCTCGGTGCTCGGCGCTGCCTGTGGGTCCGGGTGCTGACAGCAGTATTCTTTAAGGCAGATGATTCATTTGTTGTTGTTGATGAAGTTTGGTTGCTGACCTGTTTTATTATGATGATGATGATGATAAAAGTAACGTGGATTCATTTTAGAAAAATTGGAAATCAGGTAATAGGTACCAATCTTATTTTGCACTTGCCATATAATTAAGACCACATTATTTTCTTTAAGTTGAACTAAACCCGACTTCAAGGCTTCATGCCAGGGTCCAGTGGGATCCTGGGGTTTTTACGTAGAGCACCGCACTCGGGGTGTCTGCGACTCTTGTGGTTTTGGCCCACAGTCGTTGCTGGATGGACTCCCGCCATCCGGCCCTCGTAGCGCTCTGGCTCTGGGCGGCCTGGCGCCAGGGGGTCCTGCCTCCCTGGGCCCACCCAGCCCGAGTGGCTGCAGGCCCCACTTAGAATGTGCCAGCCCATGTTTTCTTTCTTGTCCTGGGAAATAGCTCTTTTTGGTTTTCTTCTCCTATTCTTCAAAAGCATTCAAAAGCACTGGATTCTCTTCTCCCTCTGGGACAGATTCTTGTCAGTGAGTTTCAGCTTGAACTTTGCATAAATGGTTTGCTTTTAGCCTGGCTCAGAGCTCAGAGCGCCCTCCTGCCTTCTTGGAATGGGGTAAGGGGAAATTAACAAAAAATAAAACACAAATTAGAATCCTAATAAAGCACCCCACCACAAACAGAAAAATCCAAAGTAAAAAATAAAAACTCACCTTCTGAGAGTAACTATTGTTTGGGAGATATTCTTGTCTTCTTTCTTCTTTTTCTGTGCTTGTCATATAAAAAGGAGCCTTTATTATTATTTTTGTAACAGTGAATAGGTCGTTCTCTTAATTTTAACACATTGAGGGGCACCCAGCTGGCTCGGTTTGCTGGCTTGGTTGGTGGAGTGTGTGGCTCTTGATCTCAGGGTTGTGGGTTCAAGCCCCATGTCGGGTATAGACATTACTGAAAAAAAATTTAAAGTTTAAAAAATTTTTTAATATATTGAGCTGAGACATTTTACTTTTTTGTCTTCATACACTTCGGTGTTTCTGGATTCATTTTTCTTACTGCTTGGCTGAAAATGTTTAAAAATTCCAAGGAGGATGTCCTCCAGTTGGTGAATTTTATGGGTACTTTTCTTCTTGGCCTCGCCCTTCCCCTTTTGTGGATTCCTCTGACCCTTCTTCACCAGCTCCCTTCCCCTCTCCTCCATCATCCTGGTCCCTCTGACTGCCTCTTCGTTTTCTGCACCCAGCTTTGAGAGGGCTTGGGGGTGACCACGGTAATGAATTGTCTCTGTGACCATTCATTCCATGAGTGGTTGATGGTTAGCAGTTGATGGTTAGCCGGCTGAAGCCCAAGATGGGATCCGAATTGTCCCCGTGCATCTGTAGTGAAAAGAAACTAGAACCTGAATGCTCTGGTCATTGCCTGGGGCACACGAGGCAGTTTCTCATTTTTTCCAGCAGGTGGCAGCATGCGACCTCTTCAGTGGAGAGCAAATATTAAAAACAGGAAGTCACCAGCACACCAGGGCTTGCTCTCACCAGTTCTCTGGTTGACATACTGTTAAGAAGGCACCCATTTGGGGCGCCTGGGTGGCTCAGTCATTAAGCGTCTGCCTTCGGCTCAGGTCATGATCCCAGGGCCCTGGGATCGAGCCCCACATCGGGCTCCCTGCTCCATGGGAAGCCTGCTTCTCCCTCTCCCGCTCCCCCTGCTTGTGTTCCTTCTCTCGCTGTGTCTCTCTCTGTCAAATAAATAAATAAAATCTTTAAAAAAAAAAAAAAAAGCAACCATTTCTCATCAGCAAATATCACAAACCCTTTGAAAAGGAGACAGAATAGTTAGAATTGGGGTGTCTTGATCCATGTTCTTTCCCTGAATTGATTTAGGCCGTGGCTGCTTTTTAGCTGATATGCAAATGCATATTTCATTCAGTACTTGGAAAAATGGTTATGCCTGTAACTCTTCCAGAGTCAGGGCAGCCATGTTCCCACGGTCAAGCCCCCCTGCAGAGAAGTCTCAGGAACACCATCCCCTACCCCTCAGCGGCAAGCTGCCCTGGGGCTTGACTGCAGAGCAGATCGGGACAGAAGTGAGGCAGAAGCTGGAGTGAGCACACTGCCGACTGCCCGGCCGCAGGCTCCCGGCTGTTGTGCTTGGCCCCCTGTGCCCCTCGGTCCACCCTTCTGAGATCTAGCCCCCCCCCCCAGAGGCAGCTGGCAAAGTGAAGGCCATGGGCAGTAAAGCCTGCTACTAGATTTGGAAGCTTTTGTTGGACGGCAGCTGATGTTCTGCTTCCTGATCTTAGGCTCCTGGTGCCATTGACTCAATGCATGACCTTGACAGTGATTTGGGCTTGAGACTCTCAGCGTAAGTGCCGTCCGGCCTGACTAACTGCCAGTGGGGGAAGTGCAGTTTGCAGTGGCTGCCCCTGCATTTGGGATGGCGGTTGGCTCTCAGAGTGTTTGCTTGGATGTTGTTTACTTCTTCGTCTCTGGAGTCCTTGCACCTGAGGGAAACGTTAAGGATGAATCTGCCCACTGTCCTTCAGCTGCATTTTTGTCTCCTCTGTCACACGCTGTTGCTTCTCTCAGCTCCTCTGTCATTTGGAGTCACTGCTGCGCTGCATCCTCTGAGCGGCAGCTTATTGAGTCTCGCACAGACACCCGGGCTCAGGTTGCACCGTGTTTTGCCCACCGACATTGACTGTCACTGCCCGTGAGCGTAGACCCGTTTCCTCCTTTCTCCACCGTCGTGGACTGGCGGGGGGCAGACGGCCTACATTTAATTAACAATCTCTGCTGCTGCTCGTCTTTTTTTCCCCCCTTGTGTTTCAGAGGAAGATTGAGAGGAAGTGTTCTGAGGACTCTGGGCTTTTATGTGAGTTCACAGGCACTTAAACAAACTGTGACTGGCTAGTTGCAGGGTTTGTGGAGGCCTGGCTTCACTGGGAGCGGCGCCCACGTTCTGCAAGTAGCTGCGGCCGTGGGAAGTACGCGTCAGGGTAGCAGTTCCCACGAGGGCCCTCGGGGTCACACTGTTTTCATCACCGGCCACGGTGGTCGTTATCTGCTCTGCTGGTACAGGAGCAGCAGGGGGTCAAACAGCTGGTGCCAGAGCAGGATTCGAGGCCGTCGCACCAAGCTGTATTAGTGGCCATCGCTGCCTGCTTGCCAGGGGTGAAAGAGGCTCGTTTCACTGAAGAGTGGCCTTGATGAAATAGTAAAAACTACTGATGTTATTCAGTTTCAGCCTTTAAACATGTCTTCTAACGTTCCAAATGTCATGAAATGGGAAGTATGTGTGAAGTACTTCTGCTGTGCGCCGAAGTATGATAGTTGTCTCAGGGGAAAGCACATGTGCAGTTGTTGGAGTTGCAAGCTGAACCAGCTGCTTTTCTCTTGGGACATCATTTTTGTTTGAAAGAATAAAACTTTAGTATGGTTACTCAGACATGAGGTTTTGTCAGACATTTTCTTGAAAATGAACGAGGTAAACTTGTCAATTCAGGGAAATGACGAGAAGTATTTGTTGCTGGCGATCTCATTTTCACTTGAAAGCACAAATGTTAATTTAGGAAAACACATCCACCACTGAAGGCCTGATAGCTTCCCAGTTCTTAAAAGACCTACGTGAGAGGGGGTGATATTAACAAATGTGACTTAAAAAAATATTTTATGATAAAAAGTGTCAATATTTCAGAGACCTGCATGACTTGGTTGAACAGTATCTTCCACCTGGCCCATGTGTGTTACACAGTCATGCATGAATAAAAGATCCATTCAAAGTGCAAGATGGACCAGTGGATTTTTTTTTTAAGATGTATTTTTTTATTTGAGAGAGAGTGCAGGCTCACATGAAGGGGGGGACAGAGGGAGAGGGAGAAGCAGACTCCCCGCTGAGCGGAGAGCCCTCTGCGAGGCTCCATCTCATGACCCTGAGATCATGACCTGACCCAAAATACAGTCAGATGCTCAACCGACTTAGCCACCCAGACGCCTCAAGATTTTATTTTTAAGTAATCTCTACACCCAACGTGGGGCTCGAACTCACAACTAGCCAGGCACCCCTGGACCAGTGGATTTTAATGACAGATTATGGAAATTCATTGACACAGTTTCAGATTCCCCACCTCACTAATCTTTTAAGAAGCTACCACTTGTCAAGTTTTAATGTCAGAGAAGACTGTTCATAGCTCTCTGAAAAGGGCCTATATCTGCATAAAGCCATATTTTCTTCACATACTTCAACCAAACACACTTTCACGGCACATTGACTACAGAAGCAGATACGAGAATCCAGCTGCATTCTATTAAG